TACCTCCCATGTACCTCTCTATGTCTTTCTCTTCCTCAATGCCACCATGTTGATCACTCACATTTGGTATATTGCCCTTCTCTTCACCCAAATCAATACTTATCTCCACCTATCTAACAGTGTTCCTGACCCTACCCTCCTACTCCTGGTAACCAACAAAAAAATTTCCCTCCATAGATAAACCTTTCCTTGACTTTTACAATAATGGACTAATACAATATTTGTCCTTCTGTAATTGACTTATTTCACTCAGCATGATGTCCTCCAAGTTCATCCACATTATGTGGTATTTTGCAGATTCTATGTTATTCTTTAGGGTTGTATAGTATTCCATTGTGTGTATGTACTATACTTTGGTTATCCATTCCTCAGTTGATGGACACCTGGGTTGTTTTTATCTTTTGGCTATTGTAAATAGTGCTGTTATGAACATGGGTGTGCATATGTCTGTTCTTGTCATGGCTCTCACTTCTTTAGGATATACTAGTAATGGAATGGCTGGGTCCAATGGTATTTCTAATTCCAACTTTTGAAGGAATTGCCATACTGCTTTCCACAGTGGTTATATCATTTTACAGTCCTACCAGCAGTGCATGAGAGCCCCAATCTCTCCACATCCTCACCAGCATTTGTTATTTTCTGTCTCGTTGAACTTTGCTCCTAGTGCTGGAGCAGGATGGTATCTCATTATTGTTTTGATTTGCATCTCTCTAATGGTGGAAGGAAGGTTGGGCAATCTACTTCCGTAGTGATACTGCCTCGGCAACCCAAGGAGGGGTCGCTATGAGTCTGGGCCGACTCGATGGCACATAACAACAACAACAACAACAATGGCTAATGATTGTGAACATTTCTTCATATGTTTGTTGGCCGCTTGAATATCGTCCTTGGTGAAGTGTCTATTCATGTCTTCTGCCCATTTTTTAATTGGATTGTTTGTCTTTTTGTTATTGAGGTGTTGGAGTGTTCTATAAATTCTAGAGATAAGTCCCTTGTCAGATATGTTATTACCAAATATTTTTTCCCAATCTGTAGGTTCTCTTTTGACTCTTTTGGAGAAGTCTTTGGAAGCACATAAAAATTTAATTTTTAAAAGGTGTCCATAATCTGGCTTGTCTTCTGCTATTTGTGCATTTTGAGTTATGCTTGATAGTCTATTTATGCCATATATTAGGGCCCTTAAATTTGCCCCTAGTTTTTCCTTGAGGAACTCTATAGTTTCAGGTTTCACATTTAAGTCTTTAATCCATCTGAAATTCATTTTTGTGTATGGTGTGAGGTATAGATCTTGTTTCATTATTCTGCAAATGGATCTCCAGTTTTGCCAGCACCATTTATTAAACAAACATTCTTTTCATCGTTTAATGGCTTTTGACCTTTTGATTTTCATAACATCTTACAAAGTCCTTTTTACCCATGGTTTCAAACAGCTTAAAGCAACAATTAAAATATCAGGATAAATATGCTATGATAAAAGTCAGAAATAATGGAATTTGTTTGGACAGATGTTAGCCAGAGATTATTTTAGAAAATAAACTAAGCAATGCCTATCTCCTTTTCTCATATTAGTTATTTGAAAAGCAAAAGCAACTACCATCACCTTGAGGGAGGTGTCATGCACATTATAACTTCTAACATCAGTTCCAGGAATTCCTGAATATCTCAGGGTAGGAATCTTTTTGTGTGTTAGCAATGAGATAATAAGAATTGCTAAAGAATTAAATAAATTCACCAGACAATGTTAAATAGACAAGGAGACTATACAAAAGGATTATCACGAGATGGGGAAAGACTATTGGAAGTGGGAGAGAACACTGCATTGGAAAAGGGAGACCATTGAAAAGGAGAAAGAAACAGACCCAAGTTTGTGTTCAATTCTGAAATAGAGAATTGCAAAGTTTTTTAAAATAGGGACAGGGTAGTGGAAAATACTGAAGACATTTAAGGGAGATACATAACTGGGATGGGTAAGTGACTTACCAAGTTTGCAATTAGGGCCATTTGGCTCAGAATGCTTTCTTTTCTTACCATAAGGCTGTCTGGGTTCTGGGAGGCAAGAAAGAGAGAAATAATGAATTCTCTGAATAGGTGCTTGGATACATTAAAGACTGTGGGAAAGAGGAAGTACAGGAAGATCAGGCAGATAAAAGTCTGTCTAAAGTTTATTCAAATAGAGCCGATCATTAAGAAGGTCTTGGTTGGTTCTTTGCAGTAAGTCATTTTCCAGAATACACAATAGGGGTGGTGATGGTGGGATAGTAACCTTTGTTGCTCTCCAGAATCAGAGGACTGTAAAATTTAACTTTGTCAGAGTTCAATTAGAAGCAGGTCTATCCAAGTCTCAGATAGTTGCTGAGCTCTCAGAAAAGCTCAGATAGGAGCTCTGTTGTGCAAGGGATTCATAATCAGAGAAGGATGTGTGACACAAATGAAACCCTTGAGAATCCCTGAAGGCCAGCACTACAGATTGAGAGAACCAATTTGAGATCCAAACTGGAATAAAGCTGAGAGGAAAGGAGAAAAGAGAAAGGCCTAGAGTTTGTAGTAGATTTGAATGTGTTTGCCTGCTATATAGCTTAATTACCTTAAACTATGATGTCACAGATTTGGCCCTTAAGAATTCTTCTTTATTTTATTAAGTGAAAAAATGGTGGCTCTATAAGCCCATGATGTATTTACCTGGTGTAATATCGATGGTAGATATCCCAGCCAGGGTTTATCCTGGGTCTTCTGCTCATTTTCTCATGCTTCATGTGTCCTGCCAATATTACCTTACACTAATAATTCAGATGTGGAGGAAATGCCCTTAGATATGGGCAATCACTCATGAGGGTATGGTGCATTTCAGTATGTGAATACCTCTTCTCATACCACAAATAGTGATGATCTCTAATACTCTGAGTTGGAAAGAGGCAGAATTATAAAGCCAAAAATGGTTCAATCAGAAGGAATTTACAGAACCAGAAATGCATGTGTCAGGGGAAGAATGTAGGGAGAAAAGGCAGACTAACACCTTGGTCAGAATCAAGGCATGTAACACAATGACACTAATTGCCTATGGGTCACAATCAGCGAGGCTCATTTATTTTGTCAAATTGAAAGCCAATTTCTCCTTTGAAATAGGTTTTGACTTTTAACAAATTGCCAAATTGATTGTATCTACTCGCTAGTAGGAATAACAAGTTTGCATTACATTTTATAGTCTTTTTACTTCTTTCAAATAAAGTATGTTCACTTGATTTCCACAAATACTTTGTGAGAAATAAAGACCATGTATGAATATACAATTCTAAGGAAAGTCAGGATCAGAATATTTAGGTAATTTCCCTAAGGTCATATAAGTAATTGGTATAATATAATACTCACCTGGATTAGACAACTTCAAAAATACATTTCCTAGTTGAAGAGCATGCAATCCATATATTAGACCTTTCACTCAGCTTTGAGAACACATCCATGAGCAAGTGAGCTGCAGTGACTTTTAAGTTACAAAATTGTATTTTGCAGTACTAGTATATAGTATTTAATTATTTTTACATGATTTTAACAGCAGTGGAATTTGCCTCGTTTGTTTTTATACTAACACAACTAAAATTTAGTTTTAGCTCCCACGTCGAGATCTTGGCTCATAGGAGAAATATATGAGCCATATGGCACATATATTGACACAAAGTTATAGTTAAGTGAATATCTGGATGGTTGAGCTCTGTCACACATTTACCTGCTTTTGCCACTTTGAAAATTGTTTTTATCCTCATGTATCTACATAGTCTTATATACATATGAAAATGTTTATAGGAAAAGTAATTCAGGGAATCTGGTGATTTTGGGCAGAACTTAAATTTGTTAAAATATTTGGATTCAAAGTAAGTGTATGTAAATGTTGAAAGTAATATTAACCATATTTAAAAAATTATGTATATAAGAAAAATAGTTATATATGTACATATATAACTTTTTTTTCTTTTACGGATAAATCACTGTACCAAGTTATTGGTCTTTTGGTTAATGAATGCGTGTGGTCTGAAAGGCTTGGTCTGAGTGAAAGGAGCAGCTTTTCTTGGAGAAAGACTAGAGGAATAGTGTAGACAGAGAAGGGACCCTCATATGCTGTTTTAATTAATGTTGATTATGTCCAAAGACTGACAAGATATTCTTTTATAGTGGATGTTACTCTGGATATAGACACTGCTCATCCATATCTCCAAATCACTGAAGACAAAAAAAGCGTGAAAGGAGGTGATGTCTTTCAGAAACTATCAAAATGTAAGCAGCGGTTTGATAATTTGGTCTGTGTATTGGGTGAGCAAATTTTCTCCAAAGGTAAACACTACTGGGAAGTAAGTGTGAAAGAGAAAATAAAATGGACCCTGGGCGTTTGTAGTGATTCAGTCTGCAGACAGGGGGAAATCCAGGTCTCCCCAGAGTTTGGGTTCTGGACAATATGCTTGAATAGAAGTAATGACTATCAAGCTCTTGCAAATCCCCACGTGACACTCCAACTTGAAGAATCGCCTGAGATCATTGGAATCTTCTTGGACTATGAAGCTGGAAGGGTCTCCTTTTACAATGTGACCAACCTGACCCACATGTACACCTACCAAAAGCACTTCAGAGAGGACCTGAGGCCTTACTTCTATCCTGGCCCTCTCAGAGGGGGTCTGAATGGACAGCCTCTCACAATCCTGCCTTTAGGTCATATAGAACAAGCCACAGAAGAAAATGATTGTGGAACTGAGGAACACTCCTCATGTTTTAAATTTGCTGTCATTTGAGATTTACATGTATGGAACTGAATACTTTATTTTAGAGTGCTCAGAATAGTATATTTATTACCTCAAGTATATTTTAAAGACATTTTTTGGAATCCAGAAATTACACATTTATATTGTTTAAGTCCCAGATATGCCTATATATTCCATGTATTAATAGTCAAGACACATGTGTTGATTTGAACTATATGCTACAGAATTTACTCAATGACAATTCAAAGGCATGGAACATGCCACTTCCAAAATGCACAGTAGGAAGTTTCCACTTATGCAAGAGGGGAAATAACTTAACTCTAGATTGATTATTGATAGGTATAACTTCTCCTTCATTCATGTTTGAGATGGAAAAGGGATTCTCCACTGCCTATCCTGAAGACATTGACTGGGACCCACATCTTACTAATTTTGCCTCAACCCAGAGGAGCATGTTTGCTTTGACAAGAGAATTCTTAACCCTGGAATATATACTGTTCTAGCCAAGTAAATCCCAGCCACTCATTTCCTTACCTGAATACTGTTTTGGATATTAAATACTATAATTTAAATTAACAAAAAAGCTTCATTTATTTATGAACTACTCAGGTATTTATTGGTTACCTATGTGTTTTTACTGTAGCTGTCACTGTGTTTATATTGGTGATTAATACATACATGATCCATATCTTCATGGGTCTTACATATAGGGGGTAAATTATGCAATATATAGGTGAAAAAATTACAGCTAATTACAAATTTTAAAAAGTTATGCAGGAAAAGATCAGAGTATCTGGATATAGAGTGAAGGTGGGTAGATTTATTTAGGTTCTGTCATCAGGAAAAAACTGAGAAAGCAACATATAACTGATGAAATTAACCACACAGATGGCTGGGAGCATTTAGTTTGGGAAAATTTATAAAGTTTAGAAACAGTAGAGATACCAGAGAAAGTGAAAGAAGACCTATGGAGCTCAACTGAAATGTGGGACATAGTGGTTTGAGAGTAGGTTTCAAAAGGAGAAGCTGAAGCAACATGGTTTCCTGAGCTGAAATGAATCTTCCCCATACTACAAGCAGGTAGACCTTTTGTATTAATTACAATTAAATATTATATGTATTAATAAAGGTATGTTAAAATGTTTGAGGTCCAAAGACAATAGGTGTCAAGATAGAGATTATATTAAAGAAGGTGGCCAAAATCTGGATACACAAATCTTAACCTCTTATTCAACATGAAATATTTAAGAAAGTCAGCAGTTGGACAACCAAGAGGCTTTAGCAAAGTGATGTAGATGTATTCTGAGCTATCTTCCCTGAAAGGGGGAGATGGTGTGACTGCCTGAACCTCATATCAAACATGGAAAAAAAGGTTACCGAAAGAAATTGTTCTATCTCCCATGAAATCATTGTATGCTGTGGATTGATGTTTGGCATCTCCCTTCTCCTTCTCCTTCTCCAGTTCCCCTTTTCAGCCTCCTTTTCAGTCTTATAATATTTGCTTAACTCATTTCCTCTATTATCTCTGTTAAAAAAATAAATGTATATTTTATTTTCTCGAGTAGACTCTGGTCATTACCTTAGTTGTGTAAAAAAGGAGTAAAGTTCCTCCTTTGACTCGAATGGGTCTTACTGTAAGTATCTAAACTATTCTCTACTTACTGCTCATCAAGGCCAATCACCATAATGCTATTAATATAGTAGACTGGTGGGGTTTCCATGGAATGTTGAGATGTAAATATTTCTGCAGACTATGTTATGGCAGAGGTAAGGAGAGTTCACATAACCTTCAAGTATGATTGTTGTTGTTATGTGCCGTCAAGTCGGATCCTACTCATAGCAACCCCTCTTTGGGTTTCCGAGGCCGTATCACTATGGAAGTAAATTGCCCAACCTTCCTTCTGAGGAGTGACTGGTGGATTTGAGCCTTCTGGTTAGCAGTCAAGTGCCTTAGGCACGTGCTACCAGAGCTCCTTCAGGTATGTTAGGAGGTATATTTTGTTCCTATCAAGTAAAAGAAGATTGGTATAGAAAAACTAGCAACTTCCAGGAAAGTTCCCATATGCCAGGTGTCAGGATCTATGTTGATTGTTTCCAATAAATATATTATATTTAAAGCAGCAACTGCAGTTTAATTACAATTCATTGTGTCATTTTCCAAGATCCATCTGCCTCCCACCCAGGCCTAGCAGGTAAGTAAAATGCAAAGATGATAAGTGTTACACCAGTATGTCTTTGAAATTTTTAATACAGGACTAATCTTTTCAATTTTCTCAAGGATACAATATTGCTCTTGGTTTACTGGTAAAAACAAAAACAAAAATGACAAACCAGTTGTTCTGGAATCAGTTCTGACTCAGGGAGACCTCATGGGTATCAGAGTGAAACTGTGTTCCACAGGATTTTCAGTAGTTGAGATCCTTTTGGAAATAGATTACGAGACCTTTCTTCCATGACATCTCTGGGTGGATTTGAAGTAACATCCTTTCAGTTAGTAGCTGTGTGCTTAACCATTTGTGTCACCCAGAGACTCCAATAAGAAGGAAATTTCAGAGGATCACACTTGACTTCCTGCCACAACCTCCCTTACTCATAGGTGTATCAGTCAGAGAGCAAACATAGGATTTTGTGTATTCTAATTATACATATAGGAACTGGGGAAACTGACATTGTGAGGGTTCATGAACTCATTGAGTACCCAACTACACCTACTCTAGTCAAGATTCCTTTTATTATCTGACTTCCATAAGCCTTAACTTTAATGAGTAAATAAAAGTGGTGTTGCATATCATCATCTCAGAGTACAAGTATGGAATATTCTGGGCATGTCCCTTTCTCCAGTACCCATAAAACCTATCAGATGCCTATATAGTACTTTGAGAGGCTTATTAAAAGATTTTCATACAGTATATGCTTATGGTAGGGTTGTAGGGTTCTTCCTCAACAAGATCCAGCCTATCCATCAACCACGTCTAGAGCTGTAACTGATGTTAGATTTGAAAACTATGTAAGAAACTGCAACTCCCTACATCACAAAACTAATTATAAACTACAAAGCATTAAAATATTTCTCTAAGGTAGTTGGATATAAAATTATCATAAAAAAACAGTAAATTTTAAATATACAAACACTAGCCAGTTTGATAACATAATGGAAAGGAACTCCCATTTGCAACAGCAAAAATGGGAAAATAATTATACTGAAAACAGTATATATGCAAAACTTACATAAAAACTTTAAAACATTCTAGAGAAACATTTTCAAAAATGAAAGTTCATTTCATTTCTTTTTTTTTATTGTGCTTTAGGTGCAAATTTACAGAGCAGAATTTTTTTACATTCAACATTTCATGTACGTTTGGATTCACCCCCCAAT